TAAATTTTTTAGTATACCCTCCAAGTGATTTCGATGTATATGAAGATGAATTAATGTAAAAAAAAATAATATTAATATTAATTTCACATGTATAATGTCTTTAACAATAAATTTAATTGATAATACATGATTTTTAAGTTCATTAAACCTTTACCTCTAAGAATATTTATTATAGAGTCCACTCACACTCTCTAATAATAATGGATCCTCTGTAACATACTAAGATTTTATATCAATATTGATATTAATATTAAGCCCGACCTATATGTCCAATATTAATATATATTAATTAATTATATTGTTGATAACGGATTACCTATAATAAACATTTTTCCCTAGTTATAATATTAATACTAATACTAATACTAAGTCTAACGGTTCGTTATAGAGTGAACTGTATATAGAAAGAAAGAATTTTTATTATTGTAAATGCAATTAAGATTCAATAATAACAAAAATATTACTAAAAAACAAATTTTCTATATAAAAATTTCCAACAATCCACGAGTGCTAAAGAGTAAACTTTTTTCTTTACTTAAAGTAAAATAAAATATATTAATATGTTTTCTGAGTTATGTTTATCTGCACGCCAAAAAAAAAATTTTATGTAGTGGAGCAACCAATTATTTAGATTAACAAGTAAAAACTTCAACAATACATAAATATGTAATTGATTGATTTACGTTAATTACGTTAGATCATCATCATCAGCATAATAATAAACTAGGGGTGCATAATATCGATGCCCACGGCTTTAAAGTATAATAATAATAATAATAAATTTACATATTCAAAAAGAGTTAATCAATCAATTAAATATTTTTTCCATACTTACAAAACTTGTGCAAGTCTGTATTCCTTATCAAATAATGCTTCTCTATTTGGTGGTGGTGGTTTTGATAAAACATTATCCTGCTTATTATCAACAATGAAAGGATTTTGTAATAATAGGTGAACCAATCAATCACTTCAACATTGGCTCAACTGTGTCATTTTGAGGCTTTTGGTTGTTTTGACGAAGACTAGAAGAAAGTAAAAATAATTTAATCTTAAAAAGTATATTATATAAGGTAAATAAACACATTTTCTCTTTTTCAATTAAAATTAGATAGTTAACTCTTCGTTTGTTGAAGTTAAAATGGAATGTTTATGATCAGGTGTAACCGTAATTTTTGAATTCGTATTTTTCCAATATTATTATTTTGCGTTTGAAGTTGACTGTTGAAACTAATATTAATAATTATTTACACTTCAATGCAAAAATCCATCATCTAAAATTTCAATTCACTAAATTCGACGCGTATTATTATTATCATAA